GCTCCTTCACTGGTCCCACTGGAATGGAACCCAGGGCCTTCTGCGTGTAAAGCAGATGTGCCAACCGCTGCGCTCACTACGGAACCACACGCTCACGGTGTTTGAGTCAATACAGCAGGAAATGTTTATAATTATTTGATTCAAAGATAAATGTGGCAGGTGCTTGGGGGTTTCCTGGTGCTAAATCCCATTCCCCGTGCACCTCATTCACTGGTAAGTTTGAAATATCCTCCAATAGAATCATTGTGAACACACAAGAAAAAATTCACTAAAACCACATTATTGACCCAATGAGCACTTCTACGTCCTTCGCTCATTCCAGGATTATGTAAGGCTGCCCTTGCTCTTCTTGCCATCAATCGTCTGCGCCTTGGTCACTGCCTTCTCTTGAATCCCTTTTTCGGGGACAGCACCGACAGTGGTTCTCAACCTTCTGGCCCTTTAAATACAGTTCCTCATGTCGTGACCCAACCATAAAATTATTTTCGTTGCTACTTCATAACTGTAATGTGGGTACTGTTATGAATCGTAATGTAAATATCTGATATGCAGGATGGTCTTAGGCGTCCCCTGTGAAAGGGTCGTTCCACCGCCAAAGGGGTAGCGACCCTCAGGTTGAGAACCGCTGGTAGCTCAGCGGACACGGTGGGCTAGAGGAGAGCGGAGCGCGCTGCGTCCTATTTATAGAGAACCTCGCATGCAAATAAGGTGATAAACCAGAGCCCTGTGTGTGTTGGCTCCCGAGAGCAAGCTCACAACTTAGCTCTGCCCAATCAGAGCGCCAGAATCCCAAACTCGCACGCTCACTGGTTTAGATGAAGCTGAAACCTGAACCAATGACACAGCTGCCTCTTCGCGCCACAAACGTTTATAAAAAGTGCCGCCCGCGCGCTTTCACTTTTGCAGCCACTTGCAGTGAAGTTTGCAGCCAGAATGTCCGGCCGCGGGAAGCAGGGCGGCAAGGCGCGCGCCAAGGCCAAGACGCGGTCCTCGCGGGCCGGGCTGCAGTTCCCCGTGGGCCGCGTGCACCGGCTGCTCCGCAAGGGCAACTACGCCGAGCGCGTCGGGGCGGGCGCGCCCGTGTACCTGGCGGCCGTGCTGGAGTACCTGACGGCCGAGATCCTGGAGCTGGCGGGCAACGCGGCCCGCGACAACAAGAAGACGCGCATCATCCCGCGCCACCTGCAGCTGGCCATCCGCAACGACGAGGAGCTCAACAAGCTGCTGGGCAAGGTGACCATCGCGCAGGGCGGCGTGCTGCCCAACATCCAGGCCGTGCTGCTGCCCAAGAAGACCGAGAGCCACCACAAGGCCAAGGGCAAGTGATTGGACGGGCATCGCAGCTTCCGGAAACGCTTTCAAACCCAAAGGCTCTTTTCAGAGCCACCCACACTTTTTCACTGAAGAGCTTGCTTGTGCTGTGTTGTAGCTGAAGGTATGTGAAATGTCAATAGCGGCCAGATCGTGGGATCTGGGTTAAGATTTATTTATATATACGGAAAAAATGAAATACAGTCGGAGGGATGGGCAGGGGAAACAATGCCGGAAGGAAATTGTAACCCATTCATAACCGTGTGCAGTTACAGTGCAGGAGGAGTTCCAGGCCTAAGGAGTGCAGTGCCCAGCTGTTTCTCGAGGCCTCTGGGTGGCTCTGAAAAGAGCCTTTGGGTTTGGTGGCCTCTCAGGAGGCAAACATCCTACTTCTTTTTCGGAGCCGCCTTCTTGGTCTTTGCAGACTTGGGTTTGGCGGTCTTGGGTTTGGCAGGTTTGGCCTTGGGCGCCTTGGGCTTCACAGGCTTGGGCTTGGCGGGGCTCTTGGAGGCTTTCTTGGGCTTGGCGGCGGGCTTGGGCTTCTTGGGGCTCTTGGCCGCCTTCTTGGCGCCGGTGGCCGCAGGTTTCTTCGGCTTCTTGGGGGTCTTCTTCCCGGACTTCTTGGCGGCTGTGGCTTTCCTGGGCTTCTTGGGGGTGGAGCCCGCGGGCTTCCTGGGCTTGGCCGCGCCCGCCTTCTTGGCCTTGGGCTTGGCGTCCCCGGAGGCCGCCTTCTTGTTGAGCTTGAAAGAGCCCGAGGCGCCGGTGCCCTTGGTCTGCACCAGGGTGCCCTTGCTCACCAGGCTCTTGAGGCCCAGCTTGATGCGGCTGTTGTTCTTGTCCACGTCGTAGCCCGCGGCCGCCAGCGCCTTCTTGAGCGCGGCCAGCGAGAGCCCGTTGCGCTCCTTGGAGGCGGCGACCGCCTTGGTGATGAGCTCGGACACGGGCGGCCCGGACGCCTTGCGCTTGGCGGTCTCGCCTGCTGACATCTTGCCGCCTTCTTCTTGGCGGGGGACTTCTCCACCGGCGGCCGGGGCGGCGGCCTCGCGGGAGCGGTTTCCGACATGGCGCTGAGCGTCGCTGGGAGAGCAGACAAGATTCAAAACCAAAGCGGGAGGTTGGAGCCGGCCGCTCGGGCCCGGACTTATATAAGCCGGTGCTGGGCTGTGATTGGTGGGGCGCCCGATCCACCGCCCCCGGGCGGCCGCCTTTAACGGTTGGATTTACAAACTGTTTCTTAATCCCAAAATTCTGGTTAAATGTTCAAAACTGGGATACAGAATGTGACGCTTTGAAGCTCCAAGGGCGGAAAGCAGTCTCCCGGCCCGATCCTCGTGTTTTTATGCTTCACGTACAAGGATGAAGATATTTTTTAAAATCGCCACCATTTTGCATAGGAGTCCACCTGGTTTAGAGTATCGCGCTACTTGGTTGCATGTGGCAACAAATTTCTACTAAGTAACAAGGGAGCCTTTTTTAAAAGCTTTGTCCCTCAGTTTGGCCTTTGATTTTTACAAGAGGAAAGACGCTAGGTGCCTTGGTCTGGATAGAAACTTTGTTTCTAACTGTAGCAAGGAACACAGGTCTCGGGGCACCTGGTCACCAGGTAGCCCTGACTCTGAAACCCGATTCTGCGTCCTGGGAGTTGCCATGAGCCTACGTCTTTAGAGGCAGGAATTTTGCAACTTGGAAAAGTTCAGTTGCACCAGGAAAAAGATAAATTACTTTGGCTTCAGAATCAAAAGACATAGATTCAAATTCAAACTTGAATTTGGTATGTTTTTGATTGAGATGTGTTCTTTCTTTAGTCCCTACCCAAATCTATTAAAATAATGATTAAAAAAATGTTTAGTCCAGATAATGTTTTAGAAAAAAACTCTGGAACTTGCCAAAAAAAATTTATTCAAGGGCTTCAATCGTTTCAAAAGCACAAATGAGACTTTGCCATGTTCAAGGTGCTTTCTCAATGCTCTCAAACTCCTGTCCAAATTGCACCTCTTCTGTTAGCAGACAGGAGACATCCATGTGGATATTATTGTGTTTAAGCAAACATAGACCTGTATTTTATAAAAGTAATTGGCAACTGACTATGAGAAAGGTGGGCTGGGGATTTCCTAAACTCAGAAGAATTCAGGAAAACATTACCACCCACGGGAACTGAGGCAAGGACCAGGAGGTGGGCATGGAGGGTGGAGAAGTTTGCTGTTTACTTGGAGGCATGTAGGATGGGGAATGACCCGGATGATAAGGGAGATGGAATGATGACTGTGACCTCTAACACAATAAAGAGTAGATAGTGTTCCCTGTGCAACACTGTAGCAAAATAGCCAGCACACTTCCTTCAGCATCCCTGGAGGTGGAACTATATGGCCACCGATGGCCATGTCCGGCCAGTGTCCTGTTTTTGTAAGGCCCTCAAGCTAAAAGTGGTGTTTGGATTTTTATATTAGAAAAAAATGTGTGACAGTGACCACATTTGGCCACCAAAATCTAAAATGTTTACTCTCTGGCCCTTTTGTTGTGTTTTGAACTCATCCATATAGACATGGATCAGGGAATATAGTTGCAAGCCTGCCTCTTTCAGAACAATGGGAATTTTTAAAAAATCTTAACAAGAAAATGTTCTAGCCAAACACTTTTCACTGTTTTGATCACAAAACTTTTAGATCTGTGGCAGGGGTGTGTGTGTGTGTAACAGCCTCTATGCTTCAGGGGCAGGAGGGAGGGCAGGAGAGAGGTGTAACAAGAACAGCTAAAGTACAATGAACATTTACTAAGTGCCAGGAGCTAATCTAAGGATGCTCTACAGATTTTCATTCATTTCCCACATTTTATAACTACACAGGCTGAGAGAGAGAGAGAGAGAGAGAGAGAGAGAGAGAGAGAGGAGAATGGGTAATTTGTCAAAGGTTGTATATCTAATCATTGGTGGCTCTGAGGTTTGAACATAGACCACCTGGTTCTATTATGATGGGGAAATCTGAGAAGGTGTGGAGAGAGGACAATCTCTGAAGCTCAGAACAGGCAGCACCAGGTGTCCCTACACCTGACAGCTTCTAGGAGCTCCAAGCTCTGCAGGAAGGGGCTTTGGCCCCATGGGTCAGGATGGTTTCTGAAGCATTCAGAGACTCTTCCAGTTTCCAAGAAGCTGATAGTTGGGATGTAAGGTGCTCTGGAAGGGCAAATACAAGTCCAAAAACAGGAAGGGAAGGCCCCCATGCTGCCCTGGCTGCCCCTACTGAAGACACTGGAGAACAATTGCTTCCATATAACCTACCACCTCCTGGGGGGAAGACGCCCACCCCACAAGGCAAGCAGCAAAATGAGGAAAAGATAGACATATCTGAAGAGCATACTGGAGACTTTAAAAAGCCTGAAAATTGTATGAAATAAAGAGCCGAGTTCTGTTAAAAAAAAACAACACAAACCAGAAAATCATGAGTGCATACAAGAAAGAGCTTTAAAAATTCCACCTCAGATATAGCCTAGTGTGACCCTATCTAAAAAAAAAAAAAAAAATCATAGACAAGGACATATTTAAAACACTTAGCAAAGGCCTAGAAAAGTGTCAGCCGTCTTGCGAATTCATTTTACAAAGGACAGCCTACAGCCTGCAGGCCATCAGCCCACTGGTCACATACACAAAGCTCAACATGACATTGAAACAAAAACCAGCAATATTTAGAACAGTTGGGGCAATACTAGTTACTTCCTTAAGACAGGGAAGCAAAAGGGACCAATCTCTGAAGGACAAGGGACAAAAATGTTTGAAAAACTTAAAAGCGCATCAAAATTAGAAAAACCACAGCAAGCTGAACTGAACTTCTATACGTTTCTTACAGCCAAGTTATAACATGGCTGAGCTTTTGCAAAAAGTGCTTTTCCACAAAATGCTTCTCACTGCTGAGATGGAGCAGGTATGTGCCAGACACGGAAACGAGGCTGGGGTTGGGTTTACGGGGCGCTGCCGGCTGGACGCCAGGGCATCCTTCGCGTGCATTACGCGTGTCACACGGGAAATGCGCTCAGAAACCCTTCCCACAGGGAACTTTTCCACAGGCTGCCAGGCAGTCTCTAGGCGCAACAGCTCTTCACTGATGAGAGTTGGGGGGCTCTGAAAAGAGCCTTTGGGTTTCGGCGCGAGTGGGCAGGACGGAGCTCACGCCCGCTCCCCGCGGATGCGGCGCGCCAGCTGGATGTCCTTGGGCATGATGGTGACGCGCTTGGCGTGGATGGCGCACAGGTTGGTGTCCTCGAACAGCCCCACCAGGTAGGCCTCGCACGCCTCCTGCAGCGCCATGACGGCCGAGCTCTGGAAGCGCAGGTCGGTCTTGAAGTCCTGCGCGATCTCGCGCACCAGGCGCTGGAAGGGCAGCTTGCGGATCAGCAGCTCCGTGGACTTCTGGTAGCGGCGGATCTCGCGCAGGGCCACGGTGCCGGGCCGGTAGCGGTGCGGCTTCTTCACGCCGCCCGTGGCGGGCGCGCTCTTGCGGGCGGCCTTGGTGGCCAGCTGCTTGCGGGGCGCCTTCCCGCCCGTGGACTTGCGCGCCGTCTGCTTGGTGCGAGCCATGACTGAGGACCTCACTAGTGAAGGAGGACCAGCCGCCCTGTATTTATAGCGACTCTCGCGCTCCGATTGGATGGCACCTGCTCCTCCCATTGCCTCCCCGCGGGTTTAGTTCTTAGTTTAGGAAACTTTCCCGCCTGTTCGCTGTCTGTGATGATGTAAAAGAAAATATCTTAGTGACCTTTTAAAAGCCTCTAGGATGCATTAAAAATTCCTAAGAAAATGTGGTCTTGAGAATCTGAAAGCTCCTTGTACTGGTTTAAATAAAAGATGTCCTAATGGGATTCTTGTCAAAACTGAGCAGGAAAGAGAAATCATTTAAACGGGGGAACTGTGCTTTCAACTTCTCATCACTGTGTCGCCCGTCTTCAACCTGAGCGGGCTTAGTGGTCGCTCCAAGAGCTTGAGAACACAAGGGCCGGCCAGCTTTTCTGTAAAGGTGGTGATATTTACCGTCCTGACACTAGCTTTCACTGAGGTATCAGGACCGGCGGTGTGGGTTTGAGTCACCCGAGACTGCCACAGCCTCGGGGATGGGCACGCTGGGCATGGGGAGGGGCAGGGGTACCCAAATGCACTTAAACTGTTTGGGGCAAGTTACACCATCCAAGTCCCTCAGCGGTTAATAATGCGGATTGCACCTTTACCAGTTAAAAATGCAAATACACCTTTACCGGTTAATAATGCAGATTTTGTAATCAAAGAGAACACGATCATTTCAAGAGAAACATCAAAAGTGCTTTGTTCAATGTAATATCCATCACTAGCTCCACATTTCCCCCACCTTTAGGTAATTTGTGGAGACAGTCCCAATAGAACTTTTCTTGTTTTGAGGCAACCCATGCAGAGACCCAATTGTCCACTTCTTCGTATGTGTTGAAGTGCTGCTCAGGAAGTGCGTGTGCCGTCGCTCGGAACAAGTGGTCATCTGAAGGAGTGAGGTCTGGTGAATACGGCGGGTGGGTTCATACTTCCCAGGCAAGATCTTTTAAGGTGTCTTTAACTGGTTTTGAAGTGTGTGATGGTGCGTCATCATGAAGCAAAATTACTTTGCCATGTCTTCTGGCCCATTCTGGTGGTTTTACGATCAAAGCGTGGTTCAAATTGATTATTTATTGTCAGTAGCAATCAGTATTAACGGTTTCACATGCTTTTATTTTTTTTTTAATATATTTTATTGATTTTTTACAGAGAGGAAGGGAGAGAGATAGAGAGTTAGAAACATCGATGAGAGAGAAACATCGATCAGCTGCCTCCTGCACATCTCCTACTGGGGATGTGCCCGCAACCCAGGTACATGCCCTTGACCGGAATCGAACCTGGGACCCTTCAGTCCACAGGCCGACGCTCCATCCACTGAGCCAAACCGGTTTCGGCTTCACCTGCTTTTAGAAGCTCATAATACACTACACCTTCCTGATCCCACCAAACGCAGAGCATTGTCTTCTTTCCAAACCGATTTGGCCTTGCAGTGGATGTTGATGGTTGACCTGGGTCAACCCATGATATTGTGCATTTGGGATTCTCAACATAAATCCACTTTTCATCACCATTCACAATTCGATGCAAAAAAAGTCTTTCTTTTGTGCGGTTGAAGCAATATTTTACTGATGACTTTTCGGTTTTCCATTTGTCTTCAGTTGATGTGGCAGCCACTTTCCTTCCTTTAAAATCTTTCCCATTGCTTGTAAACGATCGAAAATTGTTTGCTGAGCAACATTTAATCTTCTTGCAAGTTGTTTTTGAGTTTGACACGCATCTTCATCCAATAATGCTTGTAATTGTTGGTCTTCAAACTTTTCGGTTGACCTGGATGTTCTTTGCCTTTCACATCAAAATCATCACTTTTAAAGCGTTTAAACCAGCATTCACAAGTATCTTGAGATGGAGCATGTTCATCATAAGCTTACTCAAGTATAGGATAACTGTAAGCAGCACTTTTCTTCAAAATAAATGAATTAAAACTTCCTGCCAATGCTCTTTTTTGGCACAAAATTCAACATTTTTAAGGGTAAAAATATCTATGATGTTTACACCTTCAGAAAATTTGACATATGAAGTTTTGAAGCTTGTTGTCAATTCAACAAAATAGCATGCATATCAAATCGCATATATATATCAACATATGTGTAACTGCATCTAGTGAAAAAACCCGCATTATTAACCGGTACACCTACAGCTCTTAAGCAGATTTCTGGGGTGTCCCGAAGAAGGGCCTTTCATGAAAGGCCCCTCCAAATCGTCATGAATCGGCGATTTGGAGAACGCCCGCACCGGAGTGCCCCCGAGGCGCAGACCGCGCCCCTAGCGGGGCCTGTGGCCTCGGGAGGGGGCCCCTCCTTCTCAGGTGCAGAGCGAGGCCTCGGGGCTCAGAGAGGGTTGGGCCCCGCGTTACTACACAGCCCGACGCCTGGAGCCAGGGCGGAGGGCGGGGCGGGGAGACCAGCTCTACCGATCGTTTCAGAAATTCGCGCAGGAAAGACGTTAGAAACTAACCACCAGCATTTTCTTAGCAATGTCCTTTTTCTTGCTTTAAGGTTTGTTTTTTGTGACTTTTGCTTTCACACTAATGTCTGCGTCCACGGGTTATGCATATAATCCTCTCGTTAATCTCCCTCCCCCCCTCCCCACAGTGAGCAATGTCCCCGTAACCCTCCGGTTCCGTGTGGGCGGCGGCAGCGGCCTGGGAGGCTCCTTTGCACGAACCCGTGGAAGCCTCTTGCCGCCGCCCTGCCCCCGGGATAAGGAACCTAGTGGCCCCCGCGGGGCACCGCGTCCCTGGAAACTGCCTCCTGCCGGGGCTGGGTCCTCTTACTGGGAGGACGGGAGGGGGTACGGGTCTGGGAGCTGTGCCAGCGGTCGGACCCCTTCCGGCCACAAAGGACCACAGCGCGCGCAGCTCTTCCGAGAGGGAGTGGGGGGCCCTGAAAAGGGCCTTTGGGGGGACACGAGGCGGGGGGACGGGCTCAGCCGCCGAAGCCGTAAAGGGTGCGGCCCTGGCGCTTGAGCGCGTAGACCACGTCCATGGCCGTGACCGTCTTGCGCTTGGCGTGCTCCGTGTAGGTGACGGCGTCGCGGATCACGTTCTCCAGGAAGACCTTGAGCACCCCGCGCGTCTCCTCGTAGATGAGCCCGGAGATGCGCTTGACGCCGCCGCGCCGCGCCAGGCGCCGGATGGCGGGCTTGGTGATGCCCTGGATGTTGTCGCGCAGCACCTTGCGGTGGCGCTTGGCGCCGCCCTTGCCCAGGCCCTTCCCGCCTTTGCCGCGACCAGACATGGCTGCAGGTGGAAAGAACACACTCGCAGCTCCCGCGCGGGCTGTGCTTATATACTTCTGCCGCGGACCTGTTTGAGAGCATGCTCCGCCACGCCCCGCGCTCTTTTTCCGGAAAATGAAAAGGGCGGCGCTTCATCAAACCTCCTGGTTTAGAAAAAACCACAGCTGACATCATATGCAAGGATAGAAAGCTGAAAGCTTTTTCTTTAATACCAGTAACAGGACAAGGATGTCCATTTCACCCTTTTTTATTCAACATAGTTTATCAAACAAGAAATAAAAGGCATCCACATTGGAAAGTAAGAAGTAAAATTCATTATTCGCACATGACATAATACTATGTAGAGACCCCTAATGATTCCACCACAAATACTTTTAGAACTAATAAATGAATTCAGTCACGCGTCAGAACTCAGTGAGAATTCAGAAATAAGTTGCATTTTTATACACCAATAACACTATCAGAAAGAAATTAAAACCACAATGAGGTCACCTGACGCCCGCCAGAGTGGATATCATCAATCAATCACCAAAGAGCAAATGTGGGGGAAAGGGAACCCGTGTGCACTGTTAGTGGGATTGCAAATTGGTGCAGCCACTATGGAAAAAGGTATGGAGGTTCCTCAAAAAATTTAAAATAGAGCCAGCATATGACCCAGCAATCCCACTTCTGAGTATTTATACAAAGAAATGCAAACCAATAATTCAAAAAGATATATGCATCCTTTTATGTTCGTCGCAGCACTGTTTACAACTGCCAAATTATTGAACCAACAGAAAAGTCCATCAGGAGACGAGTGGATAAAGACGTGATGTATATATTATCGCTGATCCAATACAAGCTTGTCTTTTGCGACAGATGGATGGACCTAGAGGAAATTATGTTAAGTGAAATAAGTCAGATAGAGAAAGACAAATTCTTCAAAGATAAATGTTTTAAAACCTCATTAAACACTCCTTGCCCTGGCCAGTGTGGCTCAGTGGATAGAGCGTTGGCCTGTGAACTGAAAGGTCTCAGGTTCAATTCCGGTCAAGGGCACACACTCGGGTTGTGGCCTCCATCCCCAGTGAGGGGTTTGCAGGAGGCAGCCGATCAATGATTCTCTCTCATCGTGGATGTTTCTCCCTCTGCCTCTTCCTTCCTCTCTGAAATCAATAAAAATATTTTTAAAAAAACAAAACTCCTCAGTCCAACTGCTCTTCTAACAGCTCTGTGCTTGCCCCCTCCCGACGACCATGCCTTTGTCTGGGTCCGGCTTTGCTGTTGTTTTGGGTGGGTTTGTTTGCCTGTTGTTGTCTTTATTTTCTGTCACCTCAGCATCCACGGCCCTCATGACTATGACTGCTGGGTCTGAGCGGCCCTTCTCAAGAGCAGTGCGTGCGTCCTCTTTGTGTGCAAAGTGCTTTCTGTGTCATCCTAACGGAGCCAGTGGCTGCGACAGTAATGGCCCTGATCACAGGGAGCTTCCCGGGGGCTCCTCACTTCTCACCTTTGCTTCTCTATCCTTTGCCTCACCTGCTACACGTCCTGTCCAGCGCTGCCATCATGTGGGGGTGGGGGTGGGGGTGGGGGTGGTGGGGGTGGGGGGGTGCCTTCATCTTGGTTAGAAACACTCATTTTCTAAAGTTGTTTGAGGAAGGTCTGCTTTTTTTCTTGAGAGAGTCGATTAGCAGGCCCTGAGGGGTCTAGAAACACAGTCCCCGAGAATGAGGGAGGACTCCTGTTTGCTGTTTCTGGAAACACGGAGGAAATTTACCAGTGCTCCTCTATCTGGTGAAGGTAACACACTCTGAAAGATCTGTAACTTAATTGCAGTTGTTGGGTGATTCCTTCCACGTCCCGCGTGGAGTAGGGTTCGGTACCTGAAAGAGGAGCCGCACAGCAAATGAGAGAAACAGACACGAGATAATTTTGCAATATTGGAGGACCAGGCGGGCAAGTCCCAAAGGACTTCCTCCCATGCTCAGGCTGCTCCAATCTTTTATTGATCTGGAGTAGCCCTTAAGAAAAGGAAGTTTCAATGACACACAGATCAGCAATTTCCAGGAGTAGACAAAAGTATCTAGTTAGCTTATCAATAGATTTCCGAGTGTAGGCAGAGTAACTGATTAACAATAATCAACAAGGATCTACATAACTATCTAAGGAATTAAGGGAACTAAGGTGGGGATGCTTCAACTATTATGACCTAAATTAACTGAATGGTTCCTAGATTAACTGGGTGGTGCACAGCCCTGACCTTTACTAGGACTTTCAATGGCTACTAGCTTTTGGGGGGGTTTCTGTCTAAACTCAGCTAGTGAAGACAATGAATGGACTCCGGCAGCAGTAACAGTGCTTTGCTCTGGAAATGATATTAACATTCACATCTATGTTTCTCAGAGGTGTGCTTCTCTCTGTTAAATTAGAGACTCGTTAATTCTCTTCTTCCACCTTTGTGGAAGAGACACAGAGACAGGCTCTGCAGATTTCTTACCCTAAAAAAAGTTTAAGAATTTCATTTTATTTAAATAAAGTATGATTCAGATGCTTTCTTTTTGTCTTTCTCAGTAAATAATAATGCTGATTGACATGAGTTACCCAAAAAATTATTGTTGAATAACTCTGATAAATAACTTTTTTCCTCACACAATAAGAAACATTCTTTTCCAAGAGAAATTTGGCAGACTTTTAATTTCCCCTTTAATCAGATGAAAACATGAGCTATACTGTCCTTTGCAATGTTGAGGGTTGCTTATTGACCCACACTGGTCTGACTGACAATTTTGTAATGTTTAGTACAAGTGGAGTGGATCCTTTTCAATATGGTTATATTTCAACGTCTTAGGCCACATGTTTATTTCCTTGGCACCTGATTTTGTTTTGTTTGTTTGGGTCGAGGCTTTAGAATTGGCTGATAGGTTGTGCTGTGTCTCTTTTACTTTTCTCTTGCTCTGCATTTAACATTATTTGATTTACTAGAGATGAGTCCCTATTTTAATCCTCAGTTATTCTATCCTGAAAACACATACTCATTCATAGGTAAGCGCACACACATAAGCCCTTTGGAGTGGTTTCTACTCCATGAACTTATGCCCTCAGATCTCCCTCCCGTTCTACAGTGTCCAGGTAAGAATCTTAACAATGAGGCATGATCGCATGGAGCGTCCCTTCTTCTTGCTCACACCTGAGAGCCATCACCATCTCTGTTCTCATCCTTACACTTCCTTAAGCTTCTGCTGCCTCCATTGCTAAAATATCAATTAAACAAACTTGGAGACCCAAATCCCACTGTCCCCCAAACTCAGGCCTCATTCTCCCCGCATGTTACCACACCCTTTCCTGAGACTCACTGTACCATGTTCTTGTCTGCTTGTGGCTTTAAACCTGACTTCCAGAGGTACCCCCTCCTTTCTCCTGAAACTCTCTCAGGACCCAGAAGTATCCTCCAGTTTATAAAGCTTTTCATGCCTCGTTTTACATAAAACCTACCATGTTTCTGCAATTTCGTACATATGACCACTGATGGTCTTCATGTTCCCTCTTAAGCTTCTGTTAAAATTCGCTGGTTTTCATGATTGAAATATACCAAATACCTGCAGAAGCTCTGATTTTCTTTCCTGTACCTCCCCTTACTAATATCTTCAGGGCTGGGTGTTGACAGGACAAGAATGAGGGTGAAGGGGAGAGTCCTGGTAAAGGGCTCTCCTGCTGTGTCACCTCCCTGGCTCTAGAATAGGGACAGGGGTGGCGAACATAGTGCCTACACTTCTGTCCTTTGAAATCGGACTCTCTGCTATAGACAAAGTTGGTGTCTCATCAAAATTCCTAGGTTGAAACCTAATCTCTAATGTGCTGATGTTTGCAGGTGGGGCCTTGGGGAGTTGCTTAGGTCATAAACTCAGAGCCCTCTTGACTGGGTTAGAGCCCCTGTCCAAGGACCCCGCCACCCATCACCTCTTCCATCTCAGGGGACGTGTGGAGAAGACGGCTGCGCCTGGACCAGGAAGCGGCTCTCACCAGACAGTAAGTCCGACGGGGCCTTGTTCTTGGACTTGTCAACGCCCAGAACTGTGAGGATTAAATTTCTGCTGTTTAAGCCACAGGGTCTGTGGAATTCTGCCACAGCAGCCTGAACGGAGTCAGCCACTGGTGTTTTGCAAACCGTGTGTAAAAAGTACTCAGATTTAGTACCTTTGGCTTTGGTGTTTATTACAGGTAATTTGGAAGTAAATGGTTGGAGATCATAGCACAGGTGTCCAGGTATGAACTGAGTAACGGTTCAGGTCTTGTCTTTGCCATTTACTTCATTCTTTTCTTCTTTCCTTTCTTTTTTTCTTTCTTCTTTCTTTCTTTCTTTCTTTCTTTCTTTCTTTCTTTCTTCTCTCCTTTTCCTTTTAAAGTACATTTATTAAAGCTGGGGACAGTGAAACAAAGGAGAGGTTTGTAGAAGCAGCAGGGGAGGGCCAAGGTGGTAGTCTGCTTTGGTTCCATAAAGACCTTATAAGAAAGAAGTGAGCCAAGGTGGGACTGCTTTTAACTTACTGGAAAGTAAGAAGAAGAATAGATCTCTGTTCTCTATCTCCCTGACCAGAGGAATGTAAGCTTTTTATTCTCTGCTTAGGGAGGAGAGATAGAAACCATTTGTTCTCAAGCGTCCTCAGGGAAGATAAGTCTTTCAATCCACTAGCTGTAAATTGCTTGGCCTTGCTTATCTCATCTATTTCCCCATTCCACTTGCCCAGGAATTTTCCCACCTTTTTTTAAAAAAATAAATCTTTAATGTTGACAGTATTGATATGTCTCCTCCCCCCCGCCTCCCCGTTTACTTGTTTCTTGACCTTAGAAACGAGTATTTTATTTAGAGTATTTTATTTATTTATTCATTGCCTTAAATTGTCTATACCTTTTTGCTATCACAAACAACAATCTGATAAATATTCTTATGATTCTGTAGGAGAATTTCCTTAGGGCACAGGCCTGGGTACACCCAGTTTTACTAAATTAGACGGTTCTTTAAATGTCTGTGTAGACCACCGTCAGTAAACCACCACATAAAAGTAAGTTTCTGCACCTCACATGCTTGGCAAACCCAACTTCTGATGTTGATAATCTGCTGGGTGTTATGCATTGTTGTTTTAATTTGCATTATCTGATTACAAGTGTCCTTTAAAAATTATTCGTATAATTGCTAGCCACTCGGCTGTGTCCATTTTTAAAATAAGATTTTTTTCCTTCAAAGTGAATAATAAACCACTACACTCAAGGTTTCTAACACAGAACTGTCATTCCTACAAACCCTCTTTTAGGCCACTTAGGCAAGTGAAAACCAGAATAACCCTAATTCAACTTTGTTTTCCTACAGCCATTGGAGGCTGAATCCCATCTTCTCCTTTTCTTCCCAGATTTGTTGAAAGGAACCTGCATGGCCTTATCCTGCAATAGTTGAGGGCCTTTGGAAGAGAAACTTCTAGAGCTAGAGAGGGAGCACAGATCGCCTGTCCAGACCGTGAAGAGGTATTTCCAGGTTCGACTACCAGACGTAATGAGCATATTTGTGACTATCAGAAGTGGGTAAGGGAGGTGCCAAAATCTATGCGCTGAACCCTTTGTACGGGATGGGCTTCATTCCTTCCCAGTGGACAGGTTCCTTCACTTTACCTCTTTCCTCGCAAATAACAAGGGTTCAAGCGGTGACTATCTTTGCGGATACATAGTTGCCTTTGACAAAGGCAACAGTTGGTTAAGCAACTTAGTTTCCGTAAATAGCTACTATAATGTAAATACTGAACGTGAGGCCTTGCCAATCTTGTCACTCAATTGGCTGAGGAAAATGATACCCATAGTTCTGGAGGGGACGCCATTTCCATGAATTGTGCACTGAGCTTGCGTTTTTAACGCGTAAACTAGAAGTGCAACAGCCACTGTCAGTGAGGACGGAAGTGGCTCTGAAAAGAGCCTTTGGGTTCTAGGTTGCCGCCCGCCAAGAGCTCACGCCCGCTCCCCGCGGATGCGGCGCGCCAGCTGGATGTCCTTGGGCATGATGGTGACGCGCTTGGCGTGGATGGCGCACAGGTTGGTGTCCTCGAACAGCCCCACCAGGTAGGCCTCGCACGCCTCCTGCAGCGCCATGACAGCCGAGCTCTGGAAGCGCAGGTCGGTCTTGAAGTCCTGCGCGATCTCGCGCACCAGGCGCTGGAAGGGCAGCTTGCGGATCAGCAGCTCCGTGGACTTCTGGTAGCGGCGGATCTCGCGCAGGGCCACGGTGCCGGGCCGGTAGCGGTGCGGCTTCTTCACGCCGCCCGTGGCCGGCGCGCTCTTGCGGGCGGCCTTGGTGGCCAGCTGCTTGCGGGGCGCCTTCCCGCCCGTGGACTTGCGCGCCGTCTGCTTGGTACGAGCCATTTCCAACACAAAGAAGCAGAGAACTGCTGTAGGAATGGCAGCGCGCGCTCGCAACCGGTATATATAAGGCAAGTGCCACTGTGATTGGAGGAGGCACCTGCCCATCAAGGCCCGCAGTGACGTGATTGGAAGCCGCGTCGGCTTTCTGATCCCCGGGGCCTCCGGGCGTTTGGATCAGAAATTAACTTCTTCCTCCCACCCACCCTTTCAGCAGAGGCTGTTTTCTACCCTTTCTCGTCGCTCGGTCTGTGCGCGTTTTCTTTACAATGTTCTCTGTCTTTGCTCCGTAGAATTTCATGTAAATATCTTGTTCGCGGAATAAAAATTTTAAATTTTGACGCGGGAAACTGGCTTCCCTTTGATCTTTTTGAAAAAAGCGCGCGCTACGCGGGATTGGCCAAGTGATTTTTCAGTCTCATGCAGGTTTAGGAAAGAGGATTTCCCGTCAGTTTCTTCATTTCTCTATTTAAACTTAGAGATTTTAATATGTTTCTAGGCTTTTCTAAATGTCTGTTGAACTCAATTTCACATTTGATATTGTAGCTCGATTGACATTTGCTTTTCCCTACCACGTTCATAGGCAGCATTGCACTGCGTTTAACCATTTGAAGTGAGACTTGTGTAAAAGGGGGTTAAGAAAACACGTCCTCAAACGAGTAAGTGGACAGAAAGATGACGGAGCCGGTCACGCTGGCCCCGCGCAGAGAAGCTCCGCGGAAGGGACGCGACCCCGGGGCGGGCAGCGTTGCTTTCCTATTCACAACCCACCAGGTCCCGCTAGGCTGGGAGGTGGGCGATGGCGAAGACGTGTCCCATTAAGATGCAAAACCCACCAACGAGAGAGAGGAGTGGTTCCATCGCCCTGTGGGCCACTAACTATTTGCATTTAAATAGTCACCTCCCACCAGCGTGTTCCGGTCGTGTTTTGTCCTGGGTTAAGCCCGAGGGCCTGCAGCTTCCATGCGTTAGTTACCGGGTGCAGAGTACCTCTATCCCTTAGTAACCACTGTTGCTAGCTTTGTGTTCACTGGAATTCCTTTCCCGTCTACAGGGTGTTTACAGTGACGTCTCCCGGTGGATGGAAGGGATCATTCTCAAGTAGCTGCTCCAACATGGCAACTGCAAGCTCTTTAGTGAACGCGTGGGTGGCTCTGAAAAGAGCCTTTGGTTTGGATGTTGCGATGTGCTCCTCACTTGCCCTTGGCCTTGTGGTGGCTCTCGGTCTTCTTGGGCAGCAGCACGGCCTGGATGTTGGGCAGCACGCCGCCCTGCGCGATGGTCACCTTGCCCAGCAGCTTGTTGAGCTCCTCGTCGTTGCGGATGGCCAGCTGCAGGTGGCGCGGGATGATGCGCGTCTTCTTGTTGTCGCGGGCCGCGTTGCCCGCCAGCTCCAGGATCTCGGCCGTCAGGTACTCCAGCACGGCCGCCAGGTACACGGGCGCGCCCGCCCCGACGCGCTCGGCGTAGTTGCCCTTGCGGAGCAGCCGGTGCACGCGGCCCACGGGGAACTGCAGCCCGGCCCGCGAGGACCGCGTCTTGGCCTTGGCGCGCGCCTTGCCGCCCTGCTTCCCGCGTCCAGACATGATGAACAGGAAACCTCCGCTCAGACCTGGATCTGAGCTGAGTCGCCCGCAGCTGCCCTCTTTATAGTCGCGCCGGGGCGCGAACGTGAGTCTGTGCCATTGGCGGCAAGTTACAGCCCTTTCCCTTCAACCAATGGGATCCTGGTTCTGAAACACACTCGCTGTCAGTGGACAACATCCCGGTGACGTTTCCGGGACTCACCACCAGTCGGACACGCCTCCATTCACCGCCGCCTGGAAGGAGCCCGAACCGGAGGACACTAGCAGCCTCGCAGTCGCTCTTCCAGTTGTTTCCCGGCTTCTTCGGCGGTTCCTCCCGACCATGCCCGAGCCCGCCAAGTCCGCGCCCGCCCCGAAGAAGGGCTCCAAGAAGGCGGTGACCAAGGCGCAGAAGAAGGACGGCAAGAAGCGCAAGCGCAGCCGCAAGGAGAGCTACTCGGTGTACGTGTACAAGGTGCTCAAGCAGGTGCACCCCGACACCGGCATCTCGTCCAAGGCCATGGGCATCATGAACTCGTTCGTCAACGACATCTTCGAGCGCATCGCGGGCGAGGCGTCGCGCCTGGCGCATTACAACAAGCGCTCGACCATCACGTCCCGCGAGATCCAGACGGCCGTGCGCCTGCTGCTGCCCGGCGAGCTGGCCAAGCACGCCGTGTCCGAGGGCACCAAGGCCGTCACCAAGTACACCAGCTCCAAGTGAGGCGCGAGCGAGCGGCCTGACTCCTGACCCAAAGGCTCTTTTCAGAGCCACCCACCTGCCAAGAAAAACCTGTGCTTTGCCTGTCATTTGTGGGGATGGGGATGGGGAGGGGGAGGATTATCTTGGGAGGACATCTTAAAAAGTAATGAGCGGGCTTGAGAAAAACTAGAGTTGAGCATTCGTCCCCCCTCCCCCCCCCCCACTCTGTTGTGCAGGATCCCCATGCTGTCCCTTCCCACAGCAATGGTTTTGTGTGTAGCCAGACCAGGTGGTTATTGCCCTTCTGGGGACAGATGACCAGGTGCCAGGTATGTTAGGTGCATAGAGATTGCTTCCCAATTCCACCAAGCACAGAAACCAACCAGCAACATTTGCTGCACTTAACACTGGAGGAAAAGTGCCATCACCACTCATCCCAAGGGAAAGGAGTTTGGTCACAGTTAGGCCTCACAGATGGGGAAGAAGCTTTGTGACAATGAAGTACCCGTGGGATCGGCAGCTAGTGAGGGCAGGTTTGTGGGGATCCTGGAGAAGAGGAACCTGCATAATCCAGGAGCCAAACCAAAGGCTGCGTGGGGCTTCTTTACGCACAGCTCTCCCCTCTTCACTTTTCTCTGCCATGAGACACACCCAGGATCTTGGGCTGTGGAAAACGAGCAGGACGAAGGGAAGCCGTCAGTTCTTTCCAGAATCAGTGACAGTGTTGGAGTAAGTGTGGGCGGCTGAGGAATCCCCAGTTATTCGTGGAAAGTTCTCTTCACTGAGTTCACGCTTCCTGCTTGGTTTTAGGCTCCATTCTGCCTCTTCGGATGAAATGGTATCCCTATGGCTTAGTTGAGATTTTAAAATGCCCACAGCTCCAAAATACTTGGATTTGCGAAGGCAGAAGCCTCCCCTTCACCCCCGCTTCCCGCCCCCACCTACACTGATGATTCCAGTGAGGATAACCTCTAATTATCCAGGAGCGAAGCAGGGCCCAGGGACTACTGTGGGTGACCGCCCTATACAATGCTGCCTGAGCTGGCTCCCTGGGTTGCATGGGGTCCTCCTGTCTCAGAGGAGCCTCGTATTTGTTTAATGCTCTGCTGTCATTACCTTAAAGTCATCAATAATTTTTTAACAAGAGACTCCACACTTTTGTTTTGCATGGAACATCACCAACTATGTAACCGGTCCTCACATTGCCTTCTACATTCTATTGTCAGAAAAAGGAAAAACATCTTTCCCATACTCTGCATTCTGTCCCTTCTTCGAGGTATGTTAAGCGCCCTTCTTCGAGGTATGTTAAGCGCAGAGAGATTGCTTCTCAATTCCACTGCCAGGGTTTCTATTGTAAAACTAAAGTACAGGAACAAATGAAGAAATAATTTTTTAAAAAGGTCACTGGACCATAGCAAGAGGTCATGGATAAGCAGGATGCAGTGCTGATGTAACTTCTACATAAAGGAGACTATTAGCCTAAAAAGAAGGGAAGAAAGAAAGAAAGAAGATAAAAAGAAGGGAAGAAAGAAAGAAAGAAGAAAGAAAGAAAGAAAGAAAGAAAGAAAGAAAGAAAGAAAGAAAGAAAGAAAGAAAGAAAGAAAAGACAAGCTTTATTGACTTCCTGGGAGGCTAACTCACCCTCCTCAACCTCACAGAATCCAATGATCACTCACCAGATGGTGGAAATAAGGCAGAATCGAACCTGGGACCCTTCAGTCACAGCTCTATCCCCTGAGCCAAACTGGCTAGGGCTGCACCCCTATGTTATTTCAATGTTATTTACAGTAGCCAAGCTATAGAAGCAATCAAGTCCCCATCAATAGACGAGTGGATAAAAAAGTTGTGGTACAGCCCTAACTGGTTTGGCTCAGTGGATAGAGCATGGGCCTGTGAACTGAAAGGTCCCAGGTTTGATTCTGGTCAAGGGCATGTACCTTGGTTGCTGGCACATTTCCAGTGGGAGCTGTGCAGGAGGCAGCTCTCATTGATGTTTCTAACTCTCTATCCCTCTCCCAGCTCTCTGTAAAAAATCAATAAAATGTATTTTTTTAAAAAGCTGTGGTACATACAATGGAATATTACTCAATCATAATAAAGAATGAACTCAACATTTGTGACAGCATGGATGGACCTAGAGGGTATTAGGCTAAGTGAAATAGGCCAGACAGAGAAAGACAAAGACCATATGATTTTACTTTATATGCGGAATATAAAGAACAATATAAACAAACAAAACAGAAACAGACTCATAGATGCAGATAACAGACTGATGCTTGCCACAGGGGAGGGAGGTAGGGGGCTGGGTGAAAAAAGTGAAGGGATTAAGAAGTACAAATTGGTAATTACCAAATAGTCATGGGGATGTGAAGTACAACATATGGAATATAGTCAATAATATTGTAATAACTATGTATGGGGCCAGGCAGGTACTAGAAATATCAGGGGGGTCACTTTGTAAAGTATATGATTGTCTAACCACTATGCTGTACACCTGAAACTAATAAAAATAATATTTAATCTACACTGTAATTGAAAAAATATATTAAAAGTAAAATACTTGCCAAAACCAAGGATTGAACCAGAGACCTTTAGATCTCCAGTCTAACATCTCCCAACTGAGCTATTTCAGCTAAACCTAATGATGCTCTTCTTGTCAATAACTTTAAAAGTGCTTTTTTTAATATTTTCTTCATTACCCTTTTGGATGTCACATTTCAGAAAAAAATTAAATTATTTGTTGCTTGTTTCCTGAAAATATAAAATTTGCCCAGGCATCTGTCTGTGGCAGCATGGTAAACATTTGATTTTGATGCTTGCTTTGAGTGTTCTTTAGTTTTGTTGCTAGCTTTTGTTTAACCTTGGTATTATGAGTAACTCTAAATCAGGGGTCCTCAAACTATGGCCCGCGGGCCACATGCAAATACAAATATTGTATTTGTTCCCGTTTTGTTTTTTCACTTCAAAATAAGATATGTGCAGTGTGCATAGGAATTTGTTCATAGTTTTTTTTTTTTAAACTATAATCCGGCCCTCCAACGGTCTGAATGACAGTGAACTGGCCCCCTGTTTAAAAAGTTTGAGGACCCCTGCTCTAAATCTACCCCTGAACCTCCTTCAAAAGCCCCCACCCCACTCCCATTAATGCTTTGGCACTGTGGTGACAATTCAGTTCATTATCTACAAAAAACGGTATAATTTAACCACTGGTACTATCTCTTTTAATCATGTCCTTCATTTAAAATTGTTCCACCTGGCCAGTGGGCTCAGTGGTTGAGCATTGACCTATGAATTAGGAGGTCACAGTTGGATTCCTGGTCAGGGCACATGCCCGGGTTTCGGGCTCTATACCCAGTAGGGGGCGTGCAGGAGGCAGCCAATCAATGATTTTCTCTCTCCCCCTTCTTCTCTGAAATCAATAAAAATACATTAAAACCGTTCCACCTTAGAAACACTGTTTACTTTTTGAAATAAACTTTATTTTTAGAGTATTTTTAGATTTACATAAACAAGTGCAGAGTTCCCATACACTCCCTTTCCCCCACTTCAGAATCTCTCCTATTATTAACGTCTTGTATTAGTGTTGTGCTCCGCTCAGCACCATCAGGGGTGCACCTGAGGGGGGTGGGGGGCAGTGAAGGATTAAAGAAGACAGACAAGAGAAGACAGCTGGGGCTCGGTGGGACGCTGCTCTCTGATGGTGCTTTTTTTTATATTATAAAATTTATTTTCTAGCCAGATTCCACGAGGCAAAGTAAGGGCGTGGTTAAGATGTTTACAACGTTCTCGCTGGTTTCCAATCTACTCGATTACATGCACCTGAACTCTACCAACCTTTGTTTTGGCAGCACTTGCTGCACCTCCCGCAGCCCATATCACTCAGCCGCCTGGGACCACAGGTTCAGACCATAAGGGCAAGCTTACAACAATAGCCTTTGGCTATCATTGTGCTGGGAGGGCTCTGCACCTGTCCAAACACTGTAGCCGCTCTCCACATCGTGTGATACATTTTTTACAAGGATGAACCAATATTGGTGCATTATTACTACCGAAAGTCCACATTAGAGTGCAGTGTCACACAGGTTTATGGATTTAGACAAATGCATAATGTCACGTTTATGGATTTAGACAAATGCATAATGTCACGTATCCGCCATCACAGTGCACACAGTAGGATCACTGCCCTAAAATCCCCTGTGCTCCGTCTATTCATCTATGCACCGCCCCCAACCCTGGCAACCAGTGACCTTTTCAGAGGGGCTTCTTTCACGTAGGAATATGTATAGAAGGTTCTTCCATGTTCTTTTATGACTTGATAACTCATTTCTTTTTAGTGCTAAATAATCTTTTATTGTCTGGATGTACCACAGTTTACTTATTCATTCACCTATTGAAGGACATCTTGCTTGGTTCCAAATTTTGACAATGATGAAGAAAGCTTCTGTAAACATCCAGGTGCAGGGTTTTGAGTAGACGTAGTTTTCATTTCATTTGGGAAAATACCAAAGCATGAAATTATTGAAGTACATGGTGAGACTACATTTAGCTTTGTAAAAAACTGCAATATGTAAGGCCTGTATGTAAACTATTTTTTATATATTTTTTTATTTTTTAGCTTGTGGATGTCTAGTTGTCCTATATCAGTTGTTGAAAGAACTATTCTTTCTTTATTGAATTGCCTCCACTCCTCTATCAAAGGTCAGTTGACTAGTGAAACTTCTACCTCTTAATTTCCCCTTCTCTAACACGCACTCGCCTCGTTCCCATTCTACTCCTTCAGTTTTCTTCAATAAACCCTTCCTAACGCTATTCTATTACTTTTTAATTTTATTTAAAAAATAACAACAGCCTTCATGTTCATTAGAGCAGTGGTTCTCAACCTTGGCTGCACATTAGAATCACCTGGGAATCTTTTTACAATCCTGATTTCTGGGCCTCATCCTCCAGAAATTCTGTTTCTTTGTTACTAATGTTGTGGCCCCACCCCATAACAAAGAAACAGAATTAGAGGGAGAAGGTCTGAACTTCCAGTTCTCAACTGTAGTGACCTTTGGGTGTTGGCTCAAACTGGAAGA